TGCCTACCCTCCATTGACGGAGGAGGAGACGCACATAAAGAGGACATTTTTCCTTCCTATGCGTCTCCTCCACCATCAAATCCACTTTTCTTTCTATCCTCTCCTCTTAAGAAAAGGGTGGAAATGAAAAGGGACTAAAATTAGGCCTCCGGCACCACACTCATCAGTCGAAACAAAGTTCAATAAAAACCTACGATAAAGTTCACCTTGTGGATGGTAAAAACTCCAATAAAGAAGCCTTAACTATAATTATTCTGGCGTTTGAGGGTTTACAACCTTTTACGTTCTTTGCATATTTAAGAGCGATCGATCAAATGCCAAACATTGTTTGTTGACTAACTCATGTACTTGTCCGCCGGATCAATGACTTGTACTTGTGATATTGTACGAACTGAGGTAACCATATATAAAACATTTGAAAATACATTTCAACACTTATAAGCGGCCGAGATTTTTCTATTCTTTCAGTTCCTGCGGCACTAGGTGTAACATTACCGGAGATAAAACTATCATTATATATTTCTTATTCGCACTAGAAGCGAGATACCGGGTATTTTAGAGCTGGTTTTGCATTCAACGGGTTAAACGGAAAATTTAGAATTTACAAATTAATTTTGAGGCACAAACCCATCTTCAATCTACGTTTCTTTTTCATCATCTTCAATTTACAATATATTGATTACTAATTGAATAATGAAAAAAAACATCGATTACTCGCAGGACTTATACCAAAAAATAAAAACTTATGGCGACTGTAATAAGTCTTTATAGGACACGTGAGGGATCGACGACACGTGAACGTATATAAATAGTCTGTGTGTATTTTATCTGGTACAGACAGTACAGTTGGTCTGGTGATACAGATAATGTAGGAACTCAATCGCAGGTAAAAGTTAGAAAAACAGCTATTGTAGTTTTCGGCTAACCGTGTAGAGGTCAATGTCACAGCATGATCTTACGTCTTACTAATATTACAAAAGGCGAAAGTTTAAATGGATGGATGGATGTTTGTTAGAGTTTGTAATCTGACGGCTGAACTGATCTGGACGAAAGAATGAAGAATGGAAGAACACTTAGGCTGGGTAATTTTTTTTTATTCCACGTGGACGGAGACGCGGGCGAAAGCTAGTTTTTTTTGTAAAACTATAGTAATATTCAAATATTAATAGCAAATCTTAACGCTCATCATCATCCACTTGCCCTTATCCCTTATGGAGGGTCGGCACAGTATGTGTTGCTCTTCCATACATCTCTATCAGCCGTCATATCTGAATCCACTCCTTTCTTAAGCATATCTTCCTTCACACAATCCATCCATACTTTCTTCGGTCTTCCTCTTCCTTTGTAGCCATCCACATTCAATCTCAACACTTTCTGGTTTATGTCCCCATCATTTCGTCGCATAATATGTCCAAATAATCAAATCTAATAAGCAAATCTTAACGCTCATGTATGCAATAATTAGTTGCTATAAAAACCGGTGCACGAGACAAGGCACGAGGCACGAGACACACCTCCCAAGTTCCTTTCTAAACTGGTTTATGCCATAAGTATTAGCATTTATCTAAGTTCAAGGCGTTTGTCGATTTATAAAAAAATATCAAATATAATTTTACGTTAAATCTAAGTTTAATGAAATAATTTGTCATTCTTATAAATATAATTCGTCGTGTAAACGAAATCGTTTAATACTGATTGATACTGTTTTATTGGCAATATAATTTATCTTCTCAACACTTTCTTCATTAAACAATTTAACAACCTAACCTGGGTCACTAAAGCCATAAAAACAATGACATACCTTTTACTGACAAGTTTTTTTTCTGTCTAAATTTTAGCAATGTCGAATATTTACATTCAAATTTATTCAAAGTGTCAGTGAATAGTACTGAGCACTTATTGTAGCATATAAATAGGAACGAATGGCATTGAATGTTATTGTGCTCTATTAGTTTTCTAATAAAGAACGACGTTTATAAAGCAATTTAAACTACTATTGACGGAGATCTGTAAAGGAAAGATTTTTTTAATGTTACGCGGGGTTAACTTTTGGCCAGAACAGTTGGTTACTTTAATGGCCAAAAGAGAACCGCCAAAAGTTACAGAATGTCAATCAACTGGTAAAGTGTGAACTCTAACTGGCACCAATGAATCCATACAATTAATGACTGGCCATCACAACTGTCCAACTGTAGCCAAGTGTGAACCGGGCATTAACCTTTTACCTGCGCGTGGCTTAAGTGTCTCTAAAACAACGCGTTATTTTTATAGGGACTAACCTTTGCGACAACCCCTGAAGCTTCGTGTCCCATGATCATGGGTTCGTGCATAACAAAGGCCCCGCACGCTCCAGTCTGCCAGTAGTGCACGTCCGACCCGCAAATGCCAACGCAGTCCATACGAAGCAGTACCTCTGAAAAATACAAAAAAAATGAATTAGATTATTTAGCTTTTAAAATGTACAAAGCTAGTGTAATGCTACTTTGATGGCCCTTTATGTTGTTACTCGAAAAAAATATTTTTTACTACATTTTTAATGAAATTAATTTTGAGGTCCCAAAGTTAAAGTAGTTTTAAGGTATATTGTGAATTTTACCATCTTCGTCGATTTCGGGTATCGGAGTTTGTTCCTGAAAAAAAAAATGTTGATGTTTAAAAAAATACAGTAAATATAGTACTTAATGTTTATAACTACTTCATTAAGTTGTATAATAATGTGCGAGTGTAAATATTTCCATATATTATCAAATTATACGTGAGCCAAGAGGTCGTTTTATAACCATTACGATAAGATTTAACTTATCTAATGTTTTATTTGCTAAGAATTACAGCTGCAATATAAAATAATTATACACACATACAAACACTTGTCAAAATATATTTTTTAAAGTCGTGGTTAAGAATGTACTAAATAAACATTGCCTTTGTCACTTAAGTTATTTTAGTTTGACTTATTTTGCAATCATTGTCATTATTAGCAATGCTTTAGCGGGCATTATAAGCATCTAACAATAAGAGATTAATTTGGAGGAATCGGGATATTAAGAAATAAGATCGAAAAATGTACTACCTTCTTCAACTCCAAAAAATAGGACAATTCAAAGTATACAAAAAAAGATAATACAGAAAAGTATTATAAAAACTTATTAACAATATCAAGTAGGCCATGTACACTAAACATAGTACAGGAAAAAACAACAAATACACGCAATATATATATTTTCACTGTAGATATGCCACAGTTAATAATTAAATATCTTGAAATTAATAATTAAATTGTCATTTATTTAATTACTAGTAAACATACGCAAGATTAGTGGATTAACTAGGATTAACGTTAAAAATAATAACTACTAAACACGTTACTACGTTTTATATAACGGTTATAGTTAATAGCTAATAACGGTTGATAACAATTTTTAAAATAAAATAAAAAAACATTAGAAAGTATAAACATACCAGTCTTAAATCTTTGGGCTTGTATAACACGGCGGTGAGGTTATCTTGTGTCATTTTGGCGCGTGCGTGGACTCTCGCTGTCAATTCGCTACTGACTGGTGACTGGTCTGTGGCGAATGGCGCTGAATATAAGCTTGAATACCGACACTAATTTATATTGATAATGTTATACGTAGATTGAATTATCAATGAGAGGAGGCACGGCAACGCGCGTAATCGAATATAATTGTACAAACGTTAGGCCGGGCCTCCCGCTAGACCGGCGCGTTGTAACAAATTATATTTTTGGGCTATTCCTAGTCGATGAGAATGCAACATCTTCACAACCATATTAGAATTTATCTACTATTCTTAGAGACTACTGACAGACATAACGCAGTGTAACCTACAATTCACGCCCATAATAATAAGGAGTAAGCAGAATTTATGAATTTCCATTCAATGCGATGCTTGCACTTATCTCGATCTTTGTAATGTGCCCGATATAGTTATTCCGGTTACCATATTTTATCTTTCTGGTGGAGATCTTATTCAAATATGTAAATTTCCCGTTAGAAAGGTATTTTATCTGTGAGTAACAGGCTATGTTTTTTAATTTCACGCGGGCGAAGTCTTGAGCAACAGCCAGTTTATTAAAAAGAGTAAATTAATGGTACCTACCATTTATTTTTATAAAACAAGAAGTAAAAAAGTTACTGCAATAGAGCATAAAAGCCAATCAGACTCTTTAATAATTTAAATGCCAATTACATCTGAACTCTTTAATATAGATACAATTAATTACAATATCTGGTCCACATTTTAATTGAATATTTTATTGATAATTTGATAATTATTCTC